AAAATAGATGAAAATGATTTGATTTGGCCTACTGCCAGCCAGACTCTTCAAGGTACAATCAATTGAGGTCAAGTTATGTGTGGCAAATTACCGAATCGCTCGGAAAGTACAACAGTCCGGACCATAAAAAAAACATAATAAAAATAATAAGAAGATCATATATTTCTATCCTCAAACAACCGCCAAATTGCAAATAAGCATATGCACAAATATGTCTCAAGTTATCAATCAACACATAATCTAATGAATACCCAAAATAATGGTGAATTCACGTCCGAATTCACGGTAATGTTCTCGCGTTATTTGTGCTTTTGAGAGCGTGTACACCTAATGTATGCAAAATGTAAATATAAACAGTATGATGGTGTATAATTACCACGAGTTCTTTGTGCTTTTAGGAGCATATGCAATTCACAACCTTCAAAATCAGATTGCCAAGCTATTTTGGGCTAATTAATATTGAGGGATACCGGTCACGGTAGGCTTCATTAAATTTTATTCCCTCAATCTTGTATAATTATTATATTGCTCGAAAGTAAGCAATTCGGTGAAGTTGTACTTTCTGCAGATGATTGACCACTGTAAGGTCGTGAAATGTGTGACTGTAAAATTTAAAAATGCGGAAATTGTGAAAAATATTTAATGAATTTGTAATGTATTGTTAACATGTTTACTATCTCCATTGTTAATATCTTGTTTTCTGTAATCTTCGTTTTTATCTTTAAGTGAAATTCCGTGTAACAAGATTTAGATGTCAACAACACTTTTTGTTTTTCTCACAATCTTTTGTTTACACAATGGTAACACTAGAAAATGATGATATTAAGACACGAAAAATTCGAGATTCTCCGATTATGATAACCTACATACATAAAACAGTTTCTCAAATGAACTTCGTGGATTTCCTTCTGAATGGTACAAATTAATTCAGAAAGAATTTTAATGCTCGTACTAAAATTTTATTTTGATTACATTCTAACGAGTTTTCATAGCAAACACTTGATCTAGGAAAGGCATAGATACTTTTTCCAAAAGTTGAATGGTAACTAATATTTGCACCAATCAATCGCCAACTTCTCCGTTCGGGACCTGGGAAGTCTTCGCTTTGACAAGATATCTCGATTCGTAGAAGTTTTTTTGACTAATTCTTAATTGAAGTATATCATGAGAGATCTTGACAGTGGCTACTATATTTTGGTTTTGCAAATTCACCCAAATGAAGTGGTAACAGCTCGCACATCGGAGTAAATGTGGTCGAGGTGCGTCTGGCCTTCGCCTTACGGACTGCTATACGAGTACAGACTACTTAATATTAGATACAATCGCTCAATTTATTTTATACTATAAACCAAGATTATTAAATTGGGGAAATTAATTTGGGGGTTTATTGACCGAATAACTCAGTTAATTTGTCGCCTCGAATCCTGAGTTGTACGTGTTTGTAAATTAATTCAACAGACATCGTAAAATATCGTAATTTATAGTAAATAACCGTACAACTTTTCCAACCATACGATGAAGCAGTTAGTTTTTTTCTTTTTTCAAAATGCTTTATCTAATTTTACATCCAAAGCATGAAGTAGGAAATATATTTGTCCAGAGAAACCTGAAATACAGATTGGGATGTACGAAAATAAAAATTCCTTGGTTTGAATTAACGTGACATTATCTATATCAGAAGAGGAGATCACCAAATCTTTGGATGAAATACCCTTTATTGTTTTTCCGTCCACCTTACAGAACCAACAGCTATCACTAAACCTCGGGTCCAGTGGTGATTCAAAACACCTCATCAATTCCATCACACTCATATCGAAATATTGACCAACGACCAGCACTTGCGATCATATGGATGATTTCGGTTTGAAATCGATCAGGTCTTCGACAAATTTCAGCTAGATAGTACATCACGAGAAGCAACTGATTAAAACTGGTGGTGACTGTGCTTTTTCAGCAGTTGGTGTTCCCTGGTAGACTGAATCCAGAGATTGACGAGATTATTTGAGGTTTCCAGTTTCTTTCATTCGTTGAAAATCCAGTTCATCTCGGATCCTGTCATTCTCAGACTCGACCTACATATAGTTCAGTCTATTAGTGTCACACAACTGTTATTCTCTCAGGTAATTACTCACTTACACTACATTAATTTATCATGGCAATAAATCATCTTTGAAAGGTTCTCTTTTGATATTGAAATATATACCAATCCAATAGTTAATTTCTTGTAATGTTTGAGCATTTTATTGTTTCTTTTGTATAGCATGTAGTTGATTTGCAGATATTAGTAATATTTGCTTGTTCAGACTCATATGTTGCCATTGTATCGAAGACGGGAATTTGTGCATTCATTGTCATGTAATTACGCCTATTAATTAACAGATAGATGAGACGGTGGTTTTAATTTTTTACAAAACAAATCTAATGTAGAAGCGTGTTGATTGGCCGGTGATTCGTGGTAGAAATGAAATAGTTGCAGACGTGTTGAAGAGCCGATGGTGGACATCTTCCACTCTACTCGTGGTTATTTGGTGCAACAACAACAAACGTAAAATGTCAAATTGCACCCTCAATCGATGAGTAACTTTAATAGCTTGAGATATATCATCGATTTTGTGAAGAATGATGAAAGGTTGGATAACTCCAGACTTGCTGGCTTCATGGCTCGAGTCAACAACTTAATAACCACAATACCATCAAATTAAATCATAAAAAATATCTCGATTATCAGGAAATATTTCACCATCTCGGCTGTTATTACGCAGTTATTTTATAAAATGTCTCGAAACAACTATTAACCTACATAAACTGTTGAGGTTCTCTTTCAGTCAGCTTATTTGTAACTTCATTCATTATTATGGTTTTGTGCATATCGTTGCAGCGTATCTGGGAATTGTTCTAAGAACAACAATCAGCTACGTTATCATGGTGGACTGACATCAAGTCACATTGCACATTTCATAATATACACCACTCAAGATTGCCACTATGTGATTATGACAATGAGGGAATCTGCGTTTGAAAATGTTGCTTTGACTGACTCAACTGCAAATGTTGATAATATGTCCGATGTCCCTGATTGGGCAATTGATGACGAGCATGTTGTTTGAAAAACGGCAATATTATACATATACGCACTCAGCCTACAGCACATGCATTAATCTTATCATCTTAGCCACGGGCCTAGACAAAGAAGTGCTTTGCATTTTGATACGATATTTGGAATATATTTGCGAACTGCTGAATGCTATCATCAGGGTGTTCAGAAAGGTTAAATGTTTCATTGTGGAGCATGATTTACTGGGGAAATGACCTCTTCTTTGATTTCTACTTATTTGTTTACAGTTCGATCATACTTTTTGTCAGATTGGTTATTGATTTCATTGCGTTTTCAATTCATTGAGGTTTTGTTGATTTTATATAATATATTGTTTGTAGAAAGATTCGATTCACTAAATATTTTTCTATGATATATCGTTTAGTTACAGGACAAAGATCTCATATTGTCTGTATCGATGCCCGCTTACACGAAATTCCAATTATTCTTTTCCGGTTTTGTTAAAAGTTATATAGTCGTCGAATATTTGCTTTCAAATCTAATAAAGCTCTTCGCATCATTTTTTAGAATGACAATTCGACGCCTAAATCGTCTATAATTAATTTCAGAAAAACGCAAGGTTTGAAGCGACAGCAGATCGTCATAAGCATCATCATATTACCGATTGCGTAACTTCGTGTAGTTACCATACCATTTTCCTGCAAAACACATAGACTGTCGTCACTTCCGTCCTTACAAATTTCATAAAATTTGCAAAGGATTTAGACCATCGTCACTTCCGTCCTCACAAATTTCGTAGAATTTCGAAACCCATAGACTGTCGTCACACCTGGCTACCAATTTCATAAAATAGGCGATTGGGTTTTATTCTTAAAGTACTCCGAATTGATGGAGCTCTATTAGCTAGGAAAGCAAATATTTCGGCGAATGTATCCCTTAAGTGTTCAGTTGGTTTCAAACAAAGCAAAAATGTTGCAGCATCATCCCAAACTCCTCATGTTGAAATTTTCATCCTTCCAAGATGTTCTGTCTGAATATTCCGATTGCAAAATCTTAATGTCATGAAAAACAGAACAATATCAATGTAATTTAGTAATGTTTGTCCAAAGATCCAAACATGTCGTTAATATGACATATCTTCTCGTCGAGTCTAGACTATCGATATATTTTGATATCAATTTGATTATATTGATATTAGAAATATATCAAGTGAACTAACAAATTCAAGAATAAATTCTTTTTTGTTGCTAGAATGGTCTGAAATTTTAATTTTTCGTGGTTATGTCTGAGTTACCTTGACATAGTGTTAAAATACCGTTTTATTGGATTTAATGTGAACAAGGGTATATAATGTTAAAGAATATCAAAGATCGACTCAGATTTTAGCTTTGATTAGTCGAAACTTGGTTAATAACGTAAGCCAATGTTTTATACAACCACGCTCCTTTCAAACTATAAGGATATCGACAGACATTATTTTTTAGGACGTACTGATACATCTTCTAAGCATAACTTAGTTGTTGTTTTCACATTTAAGGCTTAGAATTATATTGTAATGATAGAATGCTACAAGTTGTGCACCTTAAAGACGAAAAGAGTTGATGATCAGGCAAAATTGCACCGTTCATCACATTGGGCATATCATCCAATCAATTGTAGAAACATAAATATTGCTACTCCTGCACATTTAAAATGTATAATTTAAAATAAGTTGCTTCTATTGTTATCGAAAGCTTCCATAGATGTACAGTAGATCCTTCTATATATGTCCTCCAGCGGCTGTACTGGACAGATCGAGATCTATGGTTTGGGATGATTGAGAGCCTTCTTAGCTGTGCATGAATGTCTTAACCCGACTACAAACAGTTCTGTTTGAGCGTTGTTCTGTTCTGTCTGCCAGGCCTGGATTATTGATTTTGGTAGATTACAAATGAAAACTAATTGGTTACATATACATGAAGTTCTTTATTCCTGTGCAAGTGTATATTATATAATTCAATGGCTGCCATTATAAATTTACTCGCATATCTATATCTAGATAATGTTCTGGGCATTAGTATCTGAAAATTAGAAAGGATTTTATTAAGTATCGAAAACAACTATAAAGTTTCGGGGAATTGATTTAAAGCCCTCAACAGACTATTCAGGATTTACTGTGCATAACGTTCAACCGTTTTTGCAGACTGATCTAAATGATTGAGGTCAAATAATTTTTTTTTAGCTTTGCATCCACTTTCCCAAGGTCTTGTCTGAATCTTTCATGCTACAGCTCTCTCTATGGGCAAATTTCATTCAATTGCAAATTATATAGTATAGTGTAATACTATATACTCACTAGGATCAGCAGTAGCTCCTGGGAAGTTGAATCCGGCACCATACATACCACCCATCATACCAGGCATACCTCCAAGCATACCAGCTCCCATCATAGGGTAGCCTCCCATCATCATGTAAGGATTGTACATACCACCCATCATCATAGGGTTGTACATGCCACCCATCATCATAGGGTTGTACATGCCACCCATCATCATAGGGTTGTACATTCCCATCATGCCGAGACCACCCATCATACCGAGACCACCCATCATTCCTAAACCACCGTACATACCAGCGAATGATGATGCGACCATGCAGGCCAATAAAACTGCTACTGTTAATTTCATCATCTGTGAAATATTTTAAAAAGCCGGAATGAATGAAGATTCGTGTCCTATTGTTCTGGCATGATTGAGCAGGCAATGTCATGCAGTGTACAAGGGATCTCTAACAGTCAGAAGCCCGCAGTTCTTCGGTATGTGGGACCACCAGAACACTAGTCGCTTCTTCAATTGATTTAAAATATGAATTAGCTGGAGAAGAGTTTTCAGTTACTATGCCCTACGAACGAAGGCAAGAAATTATCTTAAACATCTTTTGCTTCGCTCCCCTTAAACCATTTTCAAAAAGGCGACAAAACAAAATTTAAAGGGTGACTTTGGCTACTTACTTTGTTCAGGATGTCGGAGGTAAATCTGCTTTAACTGCTTGTAATGAGAATATCAAACCAAAAGATAAACTGAAGACTATGAAAATAAACCCAGTTTATATACTATCAATATATGGTAATTATTCAATAATAATTAATAATTTTACTAATTAGTTAAGTAATAATGTATGATGATATTAAGGGTTACATCATATTTGATAAAATTGACCATCCCCTATAATTAATCATCCATTTTTATCTCGGTAAGTTGTACCTTACTTAATTTAAAATTAGACTCTTTTATAAGCTGTTATAAATCAGATAATTTTTAAAGCATCCTGAGTTGAATCCGAAATTTATTGAAAGTAATTTATTTACGTTAAATATTGGAGCAAAATTCATATGAACAGACATAATATCTGTCTTTTTCTAAAGAGGTACTTTTATGGGCGTAGGCCTATCGCTTTTCAGTCTACAAATAGATTTTTTAAAAAGGACTGAGGGGAAGCCGTTTGCGTCTAGCTAGCTTCTATAAACTGCACTGCTGAAGTTCAATATTGGCCAATCTATTAGGACTATGCATTATACACGCTAATTTATAATGTTGAACGAAGTAAATAATTATATCTAAATTCCTTTTTTGTAGAAACCATCCTATGGCATACACTATGTTGATACTAAGGGCCATCTGCAGCGCTCGTACTTTACCTAAACTTTGACTTAAGTCGAACTTATGCACCGGTCGATCCAATTGTTTCTCCGTCACACGTCAGTACGTCAGTAAACTTACTCGGTCGATCTTTGCGACTATCAAATATAGAAAATGAAAGCATTAATCCTAACTTTGTAAAGTTCGACTTTAGCCAAAGTTTAAGTAGCGCTGCATACGGCCCTAGGTTTCGCTTTATTTTACTTCTCTTGACTAATAAGCGAGCATAAATACATGTTAAATAGTGGTGTTTTGGCTAACAAGAAGAGGCAAAAAAGAATTATAGTCAGGTTTTATTGAGATTTTTCGAAGCAAAGTTACCCAGCTCTTTTCAAAATGATATTGTATCTGGAAAAATAATTAACTGATTCCTTTGAAAAATTTACCCAATCATTTTACTGAGTCTCACACACGATAACAAATAAACTTATTTTTTGTTGTCTGGCAGTTTAAGACTTTGTAAGAGTTGTCTCCCGTGTATCGAACATGGCGAGGAAATAGCGTCCGTTACTATGCGTTACCGTGACATTTTGGATTAGAGATTACATGACGTCACCGGAAGTACAAATAACACAGGCTGCTTCTTGTCAACACAAAATTTTACACAGGAACATAGCAACAGTTCTTCTCTGACAAACAGCTCTATCTTCAAAACTGTAACAAAATGGTAAGTGAATAATGTTTGTATCACGAAAAGGCTAAATATAAAAAGACCAATAGGCTTTACTTCGCATTTAGTCCCTGGTTCACGCCCTGATGATACGTTTTGTGCTTGTGTATTTGTGTAATATTGTAAGTTGATGGGGTTTTATCCAAATTAAAATTGTAAATGAAGAGAGTCGAATTTGAAGTGGATCGTTTTTATTCTCTCTAATATATATCGCTCCTTTCATTTCAAGAGAATATGGGGTCATTTTAACTGAGAAATCATTCATCGACAGGATGCATGTCCAGGTGATTTCAATGTGTATGAGCTGTTACTGTTGATTGCAATATTATTATTTGGTAGTTGGTAACCTCATAAGCCTACTTGTTGATTTAGCAATTTAAAATATTTGAATTGAAAATACAGTGTTTGTTTACCTAAGACTTTATTTCTTTTCAGTCTGAAGTAGAAGAAACATTAAAGAGAATCCAATCCCACAGAGGAGTACAGGGAATAATTGTTGTCAATTGTGAAGGTGGGTTGGTTTCACATTAAGCCACTGAATTCTATCAATGCAATAGCTTACAATTTGTTTGACTTTCTGTTGTCAAACATATAAATTATGTATTAACATTTCAAACCATTTTCCTGGTAATGATCAGGAGCTTGTTATTTTATTAATGTTTTTCTGTCATGCTTTAGGTATACCAATCAGAACAACATTGGACAACTCATCTACTGTTCAATACGCTGGGTTAATACATCAATTAGCACAGAAAGCCAGAAGTACAGTCAGAGATCTAGATCCACAGAATGACCTCACATTTTTGAGAATTCGTTCCAAGAAACATGAAATTATGTGTGCCCCTGGTAGGTATCTTGACCAAAAACTAATAATTTCTGTTTGCTGTTTTGATGGTCTCACCATATAACATATTCTAACATTTAACTATGCCTAATATCTAACCTTATATGTCTAATTTATATGGCAGAAGTCAGTCAAAAAGATTACCTTCAAATTTGCTGTTTCAATAACTGTATCTAGTTTTCTGACGAAACTTACTTAAGATTTGTTGTCATCTTTTGGTCTTATAAGGTCTTTATGCACCAAAATTTAAATTTGAAAAATAGGACATTATTGTCTGGTATAATAATATTGTGTTTTTCATCTGAGTGGACATGATTTCTGCTTTGCTAAGCAAATACCTTGTCACTTATCTGTTTGCATGCAAGGCGCACGAATATTTTTAAGTTTCTGATATTTTTATTTGACCATGTTTTAACAGAAGAATATCGGATGTCTTTGTAAACTTTTCCTCCTAACATAGTAAAAAATGTCTAACATTATAACCTCTGTGCACTTTTTCTCCTTAGGTAATGAATATTTGCTGATTGTGATCCAGACACCTGATGCCGCTTAACAACTGACTCTTTGTGATTTTAGCTATCTAATATAATATACTCATCACATCTTTATTATTTTAACTCTAATCTGCTGTAATATATAGGAATAAAATGAAAATTTCAAAAGTGCTAACTGCTTTTAACTGTAAATAATGACATTTTGACTTGGGATGGTTTTTTAAGAGAAATTTAATATTAACAACATTCTATAAAGGTATCTTTCTTTCTTACTCTGTAATTCTAATATGTACCTACTTATGTTTTGATGCTTAACTTAACCCAAGCTACTCTCTATATTCTAAAATCTATTTTTTATCTTCAATTGAGATGTGTCTAGTTGATTGATTGCAATGGTTTTAATGGTGTTTGTTATATATTTTTAAATTCAGTGTTTAATCATATACTTAACATTAGTGCTTAAAACAATTCTTTTGGATTACAATTACTAACATTTGAGGAATGTTTCAACCAGCGTTCTTTGGTCTTTATCAAGCTATGAACGACCAATAAAGACCAGAGAACGCTGGTTGAAACATTGCTCAAATAATGTTAGTAATTGAAATCCATCAGAATTGTTTTATTATATCCAAAACCTTTAATAAATGCCATTTAAACAATATTAGTTTTTTAATTGGCAAACAACAATGTACTGTTGCGTTATTTGTGAAGATTTTAATTGTTTTTATTTGTGTATTTCAGAAAAGGATTATTTGCTGATCTGTGTCCAAAATCCTGAAAATTAAAAACAGCAGCATTAATATATATTTATCACAATAATATTGTACATTATCTTTGCTTGTCATGTAGATCTTATTTTTTAATGTTCATATTTCATTTTGTTTTGGGATGTGGAATACCTAAAGCTTATTCTTGTTATTTATTCAATTTCTTTTTAAAATCCAATAAAATATTCAGAATGTATATAGTGTTCGTTAGATTCTTTTTATCTGTTGGAAGAAGACTTTAATCCCGATAAAACTGTAAATTAGTTTATTGTTATCCCTGATGAATTTTAGGAGCAAATTGTCTCAATGTATATCCTAGGGGAATTTTGAAGGCAATCAAATCAAATATTTTATCTCCCCAGTAATAAGTTAAAATTGATTGTTGAAGGCTAGAGCATAAGATTCAGCAGTCATTCAACTAAAGATCTTAAAGCTTTGCAAAAGCTCAAAGGAGATAATCAGGATTGACCAAGTATTTGATGTCATGGAGATTGGAGGGTGTACATGTACCCTTGTGATGCAGGAGAAACTAGTTTGGTCCTGGAATAAGATGGTAAAACCGACAAGCTGTTGACAATGTGGTCTCTCTGACTACTTACTGACTGATATACTTCGCCAATATGTTGTATGGATTTCCGGTTTATTTTTGCACTCGTATCGTTAGTACTTAGTTTATTTATCGCATGGTTTAGAATTGGTTTATTAATACCATAATAGGGAGTTGTGCCTGCTGTAAGGGATTTCACCATTTATAGACGTCGTCGGTGGGAATGATGATGGTGCGCATGAGGAGACCTTCATACCATCTTTCCTCTAATTAAAAACTATCTTCATTTAGGCCTCCTTTACCAAAGAGTAGATGATAGTATCCGGTTTTATCCAATATCCCTTTTGCATACGAAAGGAGTTGCCTGTGCCCTTATTATTCACGAGTTTCGTTCATGTGATCATATTTACAAAAAAAACTTAAAAAGGTTAAAGCTTGTTGATTGATCGGTTTGAAAATAACATAATAAATCTTATTATTTAAGATGAACCCTCTCAAGGGGAACATGGTAGACATAGAATAGTATTTGACCCGCTGAAGACACGATATCCTTGATATTAAAGAAGAAATTCTAAACCATGTTATGTTAGGCTAATCTCCGAACACACTGAGCTCAGAATTGACCAGTCATTTCAAAATTAATACTGGCAATTAAATTTCAGTAACAAACAATATGGTTTGGCATGTCCTCGGGTCCATGTAAGGCTTGAGTAACACACTTCTCTTCCTGAAATTTATATTAAAAATTCTGTAAAGTCGAATTTCCAAATAATTTCTTAATTGCTTTGTATTTTCATCACCTTGCCTGCGCTCTGCAGTATCCCTGCCAATACACAACCTATATTATGATTTCCTTATGATTATTTCCTTAACCGATTAGAGAATGTTATGTGGTCAAAGGGGGATAATTTTATTACATTATGGTCTGTAGTATTGTAGTCTCTACATTGGGGTAAACGAATTGTCTTCCAGTCGTATATAGTATCTTTAAGTAAACGAACCAACCCCTGGTTACTACTGAGCGTCAAAATGGCCGATCAAAACAGGAAGTAAGAGGTGTTTAGATTAATCTGTCAGAAAATATGAATTGTAATAATTATTTAGTTGTATAGATTTATGACGTAAGTATCATTTATTGAATTTATTTTATATTATTATATTATAAATAGGACTCAAGTTCTAGATGTCCTAAGATAGAATGAATGCAGTTTGAGTTGTGAATCTCTATATAAATTATAATATAGTGAGTTGTTTATTTTCTTTTCAATATTGGAAAGAATAAAAAAAAAACTGACTGTCCTGACATGAGGATTGTTTATCTGAGCTCTAAAACACTTCATGATTTTATCTTGATCTTAGCCAAGCAGACTGCCAGCTTTGGATTGATTCAGATTCACTTTTGTTTACTTACAGAGGTCTAGATTTAGGACATTACAAGTAAGCTTAAAGTTGGGAATGATAAAAAACAGACATGGCTTACAAAGATCAATATCATCAACACAAAATTCATCGAAAAGGAAAAATAAAAATGGAAACAAAGATCACACAAAGAAAATGCCAGCAGTGAAGGCACGATTGTCCAGTTCAGCATTAGAACAACCAGCACGGATCTCACCAATACCTCCTCCACGGGCGCCAAATGAACGTAGAAAGAAAGTTCCCTTACTTACAGCCATCAAGCCAGAAAATGAAAAAACAGAACGTGAAAGATTCATGAGAGCTCATTTTATTTATAATCCATTTTTTATTTATCGTTATCCTGCTGAAATTTCTGTCATTGAGAAATATAATCAACCTTCAGACAGATATATGTTTCAGGTTAATATTGATTTAGTTATGTAATTAGTTTCTATAATTGCAGAAAATCATACATTATAGTATATGAAAGGTTCTGTAGCACTGTCAATTAGAGCTTTGGAAACTTTACATCATTTGCTTGGTAACAGTGAACCAATTGTGGTCGTGGGTTGTAATCTAGGTCAGTGTCTGAAATTCCAAGAGGTTTGGCTAAGGACCAGCTGGTAGAAAGAATCCTTGATAACCAAGTTGTTATCCTGGTAAAAACTGGTTGTTTCTTTCTCTTTATGAATTGTTGAATATTTATTTATTCAGGCTGAGTTAATAATGGAAAAGACTATAGAGAGATATGGTAGTTACGAAGTGTTTGAAGAAATTACTGGTGGATCAATATTAAGCCGACCCCAAATCTGCAGTTTAGTAAAGAAATATTTGAAGAAAGAGGATTTAGAAAGTCATATATCAGTTAATTTGAGTGAAGATCTTATGTCTAGAGGAAGTATGACTCTGGTCAAGGGTAGACCAACATTAAATGTTAGAATTGTCAACTTAAGAGAGCAGTGGGCTGGAGGTCTTTTACGCCATGAAATAGGTAGAAATAAAACTTGTTTTTTTCATTGATTTCTTTATGTATTTTGTGAAGTTTGTTTAAGCCATTAATTTCATCCTTGTGTTTAGAATTTAAATGGGTTATTTTTAACTTTTTCATAATGGGCTTTTTTTCTTACTTTTTGTTCCTACAATGGTATAAATATTTAAAAAAATATCCTGTACTATTTGAGTAATAAGATGTACCATTGGTCAAATAAAGCTGATTATCTACCTTTAACCATCAACTCATTAAAGTACATTTTATAATGATGAAGATGACACTAGCACAGAGCTGATCAATGTGAATTTTCAAGTAGTTAATTTGCATAAGTTGTTGAAGCTTGGAAAAGTTTTTGTGACCCTGAGAACAACCCACCCTTGCAGTAATAATGTACATTTCTTCAGTGTTTGATAACATAATTAACATGTTTCCATACCATCATTTCACTGTAAGCCTACATGTTCCCTTATTTGTGTGTACTTTCTTTTATTATGGTACTTGATTCTTATGATTCAATTCTTTCCAGGAACTCATTATCTTAGAAGTTGGAATAATCAGTTTCAGTTATGGGGTAACAGCAAAACTCGGAAAGAAATGGGACTGAGACCATTCAATCCAACAGAAGAAGGATTAGCATCTTTACATAGTGTATTAAATAGGCCAGACCCTTTAATGTGGAGGGCTGCATTATTATATTATACTGCTTATAAAGCATCTATTATGTCATTTAAAGAACTATTTCATGATCTAGGACGCTATGTGACCAACCCTCTAGTTAGATGGGATTATTGTATGAGAGCTAAACGTGGTCAGTCGGACACTTCCAAACCAGGTAATGTTGAGAGATCCAATAGTTGGGAATGTTTTTCTGCATTGACTCAGTGAGTTGGAAGCTTGCTTGCTTGCTTATCTAAGGGTTCAATCCAAGCACAAATTTAGATAATACCTCAGAAATTAATCCCCTTTTATACCCAGGTTAATTTTACTGACAGAAGACATTTTATTGTATGGACAGGACATAAACCCAGGCCCTGTGTGATTCTTTGACAGTTGGACAGTGTAGACAAATGCTGCTTTCTCTCATCAAACACTGCATGGACATTACGTCTGTATTGGCCCAATCAAGTGTAGGAAGTAAAATTAATTTCATTTCTAGGGTATTTTGTATCAAAGACTGTTGGAAAACAAGTTCTAATAAAGAAAACCCTTAGGCATTGGTCAAACATTGATTAGTTATGGTATTTGTACTTGTAATAAATACTGGTGAGATATCTAATGGGTGATATGTTAGATATTTAAATTGTATCTAAGAATTAACAGATTCACATGCTTTATTCTCTTCCAGGTGGTTTTAGCAAAGATCAGGTGTATTTGGATGGAGCTTTACAGATTTTAAAACGCAGACATACATTAAATTTTAGTTTATTAACTAGATTAGGTAAAATATCACATAAGGATTTAGAGAATCTACAAGATTTGTGTCAAGATGAACATACCAGAGTACCTGGTTTTATGAAAGATATGACAATTTATCGTAAATATATTGACAGGATTGTTGAAGCTAATGGTTTAACTGATGATATCTTGGAAGAAGTGGAATGAACTGCTTTAAGTTATTTTAAAAATTAAATGGAATGAAACAATCTTTGAAAGTCATTTAAAAAATGTCAAGAGCTTTTCTATGTAGTAATTTTCAGATAAGTTGAGTCTGAAGTCATTGTGATTTGAGTGTTAACTTGTTTGAGAAAGTCACAAGACTACAAGTCTTCAGTGCAAATCACCAAACTAATGCAATTTTCAATTTAAAGCAATTTTCATACTGTAATCAGTGAGTGGCGACGACCTTTGCTTGCCCCCCCCCCCAGAAAAATGATTTGTACCTCCACTTTATTTTTAACAAATTTGAAAATGATGTTTTTGTGTATGTAATTGGCCCGAAAGATGTGTTAGAATGTACCAAAATTCATGCCATATTTCAAAAATGAGGGGGGTGAGAACCCGCTCAGAATCACATAGAAGGCTTGCCCCTGTGCACTTTCATAGAGATTCTAAATTTTGACACCATGTTCACCCATCCCTAAATACGCCACTGCATCTGTGGTATTTATTATCGAGACATATCTGTTTACATTTTCTCCCAAGTTATCAAGAATCTACATTTCTAATCGATCTTATTAAAAATTAAGATATTTTACGTATAAAAAAAGATTATCTCTTTTAATAAATTTATACAATTAATCTCTCTTTGAATGGAGGGGGGCACTTGACAACCGTCAACACATTAGTGCGTATCGCCCAGATGATAATAAGAGAACGACATGTACCAAAATTTCAACTTTTTTAAAACAGGCGAACAAGAAATGTTTTAAACAAATGAGGCTGAAATGTCTCAGGTACCCTAATGTCTGGAAACCAGATATAAATATTGTTTTTCGTATAAAATGTATAAAATAAAGCAGGTCTTCAAATTAACTACAAACACTGTTGGATGTTGGTTTGGATTACCTGACTAACGAGGACATTATTAACCATAAGAATCATCTTGCCAATGCAATTGGGACATATACTACATATTTATTTGGCATTTGTTTAATTAATTAATAGTATATGGAATAATGGAATTTTTGCTCTTGGTAGCTTATCGTCGTTCTAATGTAATGGTTTGAATTCTGTGTTCGGATCGTCAACTATATTTTGAGAGAGTTTTAAGAACAATTTTCTCATAGAGCTCCAGGGGTTCAAGTTATGGTGGATTGCCTCCTAGAAAAGTGGTTTTCAGCTCAAAATATATGTCAGAATGCATGAGAGCAACTCAATTATTCGAAAATTGTCTGGAGAGAATCTTTTCAGACGCTCAATGACGTCTCTACAGAGTTGTCGCATTTTGAATTCAGTCTCGAAATGTTGTCGCCCGTTGATTCAGTCTGGTCCCTATTTGTACCCCCAGTCTAGGGAGGTTGGTGCCGCCACTGGTCCATACATGCAAAGATGATAGAAAAAATTGTAATAAAAAGCATGCATCGGAGCAAAGCCAACCTTTTACGTCACATCATCTATCTGTACTCGCCTTTTAATTAATGTATGACACCATGGTGGGAATCGAATGATGAAGGCATAAACCAGCAGACCTAGTAGACAGTCCGTATTTTGCAAGCGATATCGGGCACTAAAATTTTTGCATCATTCACCAAATATTCGGTTATGCTAATCGGGGTCACAAATCGCAGTGCTAATGAAAAAGGAACCGCTCCCGTGATATATATGGAATGGTTGGTATATTTGAGTCGTTTCTAATTGGGTTAAAGGAATATAATCAATAAGCTGAATGTTATGGAAACAGAAACACATTCTCGACATCTGATTGGTTTGATAGTTGTGTGAAGCTAGAGATTTCATGTATCTATGAGCACATTAAAAGGACATGCATATTATGTTGTACATCACTGGTTTGCTTTTCACACATGTAAGTATACTATTATATGATATAATTTGCTTAGTGAATAAGGATAATTTTCGAGGTAAGAGCTTAATTCTTAAAGAGATATCCTCTAAAGAATACAACGCGACAAAATGAGGCTGAATGGTGGAATGGAAGGGAACAATAATGATTAACAAGATATGAATGAATGCATGTGTTACTGACATCATAGTATGGTAGGCCTAGTCTGTGGCATAAAACTGCATCTGTCACAAAGTAACTGACTTGATTATCTATTTGTATAACATAATAACAAATATGAATCATACAGTCAAGAAATTCAAAAAAATATTATCATTCAATTAGGCTCTCAAAATTGTACCTCTAAAAAAATCACCACAATTGTACCAGACTAAAAGACTAAAAGAATTACCTTTATCTCCTGTCACGAATAGATAAAACATAGTTTAGCTTCAGCTGTTTCAATTCTTCAGTCTTACAGAACATTGTTAATGCAGAAATGACTATTGTTTTTGATTGTTCAGATAACATAATATGTGGCTATCATTAAGTTTGCTATGTAAATAATTAATGAACTCCAGTTGATGTACAGCGACCCGGACTTGTTTTTTTTTCACTGAGGCGGTTTGCAAAATCTCCCTGAAGATAAAAAGTTGCTTAATGATACAGAAAAAGGATATTCATCTAGGACCCTGATAATATCTGGAACAAATCAGTATTGCCTTGTTTAAATTCGATTAACAAGCAACTGGTCCGTGGCCGGAGGTCCAAAAGTTGGCTTTAGCTTTTGGGTATCTATGTACGCTTAGATTGTTTGCAAGTCTAATAAACGACTATACATATCAGTTCTGGTCAGCGTATGTTGGATTCTCTTTATAACAAAAGACTGTAATCTTTCTAAAATTTTAATGTTTGATTTGGCCATGTTGCACCATAACTAGCATCCATACATGGCTTTGGGATACACACAACTGTTTATGAGTATCAGTAACGCAGCATTTGATTGCATTTAGTGCCCTGGTTTGTCAACTTAGCAATTCTCTTTCAAACAGTAGTCAACAAAGCCAATATACTGTTTATTTGGTATATTATTACATTACAAAACCTGATCAATATTAATGAGAAGTGAGAAAAGAATACATACTGATAGGATATGTTTAAAATAGCACAAATGTTTATCTTATCTTAATAACAGCACAACCCTCATCAGGACAGATTTTTTTAAAAGATATTAAGACTTAGATGTTTGATCAATTTTTCAATTGTTTCTGAATTTTCCAAATACAGGGGTGTATTATTTTGCTTCCATTTGATTCTGATAATGAGTAATAATAATAATAATTCAGCATGATATGAATTGAATAAACTAACGACTATTAGACAATGTTTCGATATATCACAGTTCAAAACACTAAAGGTGGTAAAAGACTTTTACTTTCAATACAATAGTCAAAAGATCTGGAACCTACAGAACTGATGTATATAAACTCTCCAGCAATATCAGGCTAGAATCTAACATTTACTATGTGTAGGTCATGATTTCGACTCAATGCAATTAAAGATTTACCAAAGAGGTTGACTTCCTTATCAACGTTGTGTCTATCGGGAAGACACGCTTCATCTTGACACAGGGTATTTCTGAAACCCTCAATAAATGGATTTCGTAAAGTTGAGTCAGTCGAATAATAGTCTTGTATAGATCCCGTTCGAGAAGTGAGATCACCTAAGAATACAAGATCATCATTTGGATATCGACTAGTTAAAGACAAAGTTTTCAATACCATTATTTGTGTCTTTATTGTTATTGTTAAAGTGTCCAACATCTTTAAGCTTAAAGAAAACCATCTCCTCGTAAGAAATTTCAAGTTTATATACTTTACCTTTAATGTAGTTCTTGATAAATACTACTACACCACCCAAAGCTTTATCTGCATAGCTTATTCTCGGACTACACAAAATATCCTTCAAAGTAATTATCAAAGCCAGATACGTTTTTTTGGAAAGACTCTACAACTATAACAGTGTCATCATTTGCTATAACTTTTTTAATTTCATAATAATCATTCACTTTCTTACTTAACCCTTCAATATTCCAAGACATACACGCAATAGACTCTAATTGTCGGTCAGGGTTTTGGATTTTGTTTCTCTGCTTCACTAGAATTTACGTGGACAACTATTAGAGTTCAAATCAAAGGTAAACACATCTTGGTCTATAATTAACTTGTCATACTTAGCACCGGAAGGGAGAGTTTCTGGATAGACCAATTACAAACAGTTGTACCTAATGGCCTAAATATACAGCATGACAATCAAATTATACCTTTCGTTGCCACCTACAATTCTACGGCTAAAATGCCTCTGTGATTGTCAAACGCTTTTATAAAGAACTCCAAGATGAATTCCCTAACATCTATACTAAACGTTTGGTGACTGCTTACAAAGTGAATAAAAATATGAGTAATGTTCTAGTTCATGGTAGATTAGATCCCCTTTCATTAACTCCCTGAAACAATCGCTTTGCATTTCTGACTTATTTGTTAATCTTGTAAATCTCTCCAGAAGTCTGTAATTTTCTATCAAATTGATGTATTCCAATGCTGAAATTCACAGTCCCTACTTGTGACCTTGGCCAGTGCTTCTACAAGAGAGTTTCTCTTATAAAACCTTTGAACTCCAAACTACCGACTTTTTTTTTCAATTTCCAATGGATCTCTAGGTTTTTGAATATTAATTTCACTAACAAAGACTTCCCTGATCAAGGTTCACATTCTTCGAACGAATATTTTTGAAAACATTTTTTAAATTTTTTTTAGAAATATTTTTATAATTGCCCATGCAGTTTCATTCTAAGTAAGCTATTTTCCTCCTTCAGTAAAGCGATTTCACTTTTCATCTGAACGACCTCCTCCATAGTATTAATTTCTCTAAAAAGCGATTCTTTTTTGCTTGTAAGAACTGAGATTCTATTCCCCTACGCAGCTGAGGATGGGAAGCTTATTAATTCATCGACTTTAGAAATTTAGCCTTGTCTGGTATTGGTCCAGGTCCTGGGTTGGACTCAATATCTCATGCTAGGACTAGTGTCATATTCAAAACTAAAAAAGACGGATGAGGCAAACCCGTTTAGTTTGAAATGTTTTTCTACAGGCTATCTGACCGA